TGTGAAGGGCCAGCTATCGGGATCTGTGTCTTTGTCAAGATGGAGGAGCTTTGTGAAGGGCCAGCTATCAGGATCTGTGTTTTTGTCAAGATGGAGGAGTTACCTGAAGGGCTGGCTGTCAGGGTCTGTGTCTTTGAAGCCCATTTCCTCCAGTTTGCAACGCCTGTACAGCTCATAGTGCCGGGCGTGTGTCTGCTCTCGAAGATCTTCCATATTTACCCGAATCAGCATCTCGCGAAGTTTCACAAAATCACAGTGACTCTCATTCTCCACTATTTAAGTCAAGACAAAAGAAGAAAAATCTTGTGTTATCTTAACATTTTGACATTCAAACTAATTCATACAGTCTCTATTACTTGGAAGTGAATTTTTGTGTTTAAGTGTCATATTATAACGGGTTAAATGGTTAAATGTTAAATGATCTTTAGAAGGTCACTACATTAAGAAGGTCTTCTTGTAATTTCTTCTTGTAACTTCTTGTATTCCCTGTAAACCCTCGCGTTTATCTCATAGATGTCCTAAATTAGGACTTTGGTCTTGAGCTCTTTTTATAACTCCAGGTTGTTCTGAGGTTTCTGTGATTCCACTATGGGAGCTTGGAGGTCTTTCTTTGTGATGCAACAATTAAATAATGTTACACTATACACACTTTTTAAAAATATATTTTTGGTATATTTATTTTTTGATTTTATAAATACATAAGGGACAGCAAACACTGTTTTACACTAATTAAAATTCTTAATATTTATCATTTAAATGTAGCATGCATTATTGAAGTTTAATTTTATAATGGATACTTAGTAAACTCATATGACCAAAGATGTGATATGTCAATTTTTATTACTAATCACTTCTGTGGGCGATACCCCATGTGAAGGGGTACTTTGCAGTTTCTCCACAGAGCAATAAGGATAAAAACCTTAATAATTATTTAATATAACCATAAACCAAGAAGCTGTTGTAATGAGCTGACGCTGTTGTAATGAGCTATTAATGCATGAAGGCATTAAATTATTTTACAAATTCCAGAAAGGAAACAGTACATTCTATTGACTAGCATTTGAATATACAGTGATCACTTGTGTTTTAGAATTTTCCAAGTACCAAGAAGTTCAGCTAAGTAACATGTGACCAACTGCTGTGCAAGCCTGATCCTTCTGATAGGATCTCACGATTACGGTTCTGAAGCTTCAGTAAATATACAGTGAGTTTCCTAAGCCTGATCCTGTCACGAAATGACCCTGCTTGTGGAGATAAGCTCAGTGATTAATGGGCTTTGTCTTGTTTTGGTTTACTCCTGTCAGATAGAGGAAAATCAACAGTTTACTGCTATTGGGATACCCTGGCTAGGCATTAGGCAAAGATTAACCAAGGCTCCATTTATTGGAAAGCTCTGTTCAGAAGATTAATTTACTTTTTTTTTTAAAAGTAAAGCCTCATTAAACCAGTTAAGTGGTCCATTCAGCTCCCACCCATCATAAATAGATGGTGTGTCCTACTAAGTTAGAAACTGTTATATCACCAAGGGAGGATTAATCCTGTTTCATAAGAGAAGATGGGAGAGCAAGAATTCTAAGTAACACCAATCGTTATTCTGATATCACTCCAGATGAACTTTACAATGTTGTATTTCACAGCATGTTGAGTGGCTTTTCATGCATTACATGCTTCACTGTTTTATCAGTTATATTTAATAAACATACATCAACAGATGGTAAAAAATACATTTACTGAGTGTACAGCGCTTTTTAAGTAATGAACAAAAGCTAGTCCATTACATAATATTGAAATGCTTACACGGAACATTTTAAATCTTGAAATGTTTGGGCTGCAAATACAACCAAAACTAATTTGACTTTTCCCCATTCTCCAGATACATAACCAGACCTCTTAACTTGCCGTAATGCAAACATACAAAAATCAATAGTTTGGCATCTGATTGCAACAATCTTATGAAAGCTTTCCTGCCTTGTAAATCAGAAAGAAATCTGGTGGCGTTTCTAATCAGCTTCCTTAAGACCACAAAGTGTTATTATATGAAGGGAGAGTGCCACTGGACCATCAATGAATAGCTCCTTATCAACCTAGCAGTCCATAACATGACATACTGTATACCAGCGCAAGATTAAACAACTAAAAAACTTATAATTTCTGGAAAATGCACTGTCCCAAGACAAAGACTTTACATTTATAGGGGTCATTAAAGTCTTTTGCATGAAGTTTTAATTACACATCACAAGACCTTTAACGTAAGCAGAGAAGAGATAAACCAGCAAGTCCTGTGAGCTCACATGATCTGTGGTGCATCTGTCATCAAATTCACGCTAATTGAATTAGGAACCCGATGCCGTTTTGACTCCAGTCAGAGCAAAGTAAGTCATAAAACAACTTTCCATTGAACAGTATCTGATTAATTTTGGATCTTGATTTTAATGCCTTTTAATATCAGTTCAAAAATCTGGCAAACTGCACCTAAAACCTAGCAAGACTTCAGTTTGACAAGTGTGATATTGTAGACTGTGCTCAAGTTAATAGCCCTGAGAAAATGTCTGTTCTAAAACTGACAAAATCCAGCATGGCTTGCAAAATACTTACCCTGAACAACTCCCCAGGGGTACTGTCTGGCTCTCACCAGTTTATTACCTACTTTCACTTCTTCTATGCTTCCAACAACCGCAAAGGGAAGATGAGCCTTTGAAATATATATTTAAAAATTACCACTTTTCAAGAAATATCAATGACATGTTTTTTTTGTTCCTACTCGATAAGGAATCAACAGGGGGGGTAACAAACTATTGGATCAAATTTATCCTGCCACTTTTAAACTTAAATTTAAAAAGATTTCAAAATGTTCTGTGAATACAACAGTACAAATGTTTCAGGCTAATGATAGTTAGCATAGTTATTGCTGACTTTTCGTAAAAAATAAGAGTAATCCATAAACAAAAGAGAAATCACAGTCTCTTAAAAATATACCTGAAAAAAGTCAATTTGCAGGAGACAGTTTCATGAGTAAGTATATATGAGACTATTTATAAGCCTTAATATGCATTCCTCTGCTGCTCTGAGCAATAAATTCTGATGTAAAGGCAAAGTACTAATAACGATTGGCTTCAGAAACAGAGACTTGAGCCAAGAATGTAAAAGTAAACTTCTAAAGTAGTTTTCTTGGAAGCAAGGAAGTTCTTAAAGAGACTGAAAGAAAAACAGCCTTTCCTGTTTCACAAAGGAGCTGCCTACTTAGAAAGCTCATGTTTAAACCATTATAAAACTGTGGCAGAGCTTCATATACTGCCAGAATACTTATTCCATTTAGACCGAGATAATCCTCACTACTGATCATTTCCCAAAATCAATTTTTCCACAGAGTAAAAAGGAACAGATTTATAACAAAGGAAAAGCTGTGAAGGGAAACTTAATTCTACACTGAGCAGCATCAACAAAGGCCTAGATCTGTCTTTAAAAGGGATGGAGGGTAAAGTTTACCAAATTGCTGAATGATTTATTTAAAACAGTTTAGAAAAAAAAATCAATACTTACATTCATTGATGCATTGATTTCTGTGACAGCTTCATCATCAGTTGGGAACTGATAAATCTGAACTCCATTGCTGACCAGCTCACTCATGATCTTAATTTTAAATTTGTGCAGTTCGCTTTTGGAAATAGTATCAGCTTTTGCAATAATGGGGATGATGTTCACCTATGCAGAGAACAAAAGGGGAGAGGATTACTTTTAAGCTATCATCATAGGAACTCCTTGAGTCCTCTGCCACACCACTGCAAGAACAGGCTGATACTAGAGCATATTTGTGAAAAGCCTAACATCAAGCTTTGCAGACCAATATAAAAAAAACAATAAATCTTTGATTACCAAGTAACTCATGAACATCAAATTCATGGCAACAATAAGGTAGATGCCACTTGCTTGTTTCCTATTAAAACTAAGTAGGAGTGTTACAGCACAGAAGATTATAGGATGCAATTTACCATCAAATTGATAAGATTCACACTACCCACTGTTGCAATAAAGCCCAATTCCATTATTCAGGATCCCAACCAGCACAGCCACAAACGTCTCTCCCCCCCTGTGTTCTGGCAAGCAGTACCACACCATAAATGCACGGACCACTAGACTTAAGAACAGCCTCTACCCTACTGCAGTAGGCATCCTTAACAGCTAACTGTAATGCCTCCGACTCAATATACATCTGCACTATGCACTCGCTTACTGATCAGCTGGTACTCCCGTGTATTTCTAAAATGTCTCCCTCTGCACCTTTTCTCTATTGAGAAATCAGATTCCCAGGTGTCCTGATGCAACTTGACCCCTGCTGCGTTAAAGAGACTACAGAACGTTTTTGTTTTTTTCAAATGCGAAACAAATAGTGCGGTCATGAACCATTTTGTGAAGGGGCAGCACTGCAGCTCTCTGTCAAAATGCTGAAGCTGATAACTGCGACATTAAAAACGTGATCTTACAAGTCCTGCATGAATGTCCAATGTCCACTACAGTACATCTAACACTGGACAATGAAAAGAGGATATGTGTCAACTACAGGAGCTGTAGATTCGCTCGAAGATAATTCAAGAAAAATGCTTGTTTTTTGACCGACAAGAAAATTATATTTTTACGTGATCTGTTTAGGTTCATTTATTAAATATCAATACCAATATCAATTACTAAGCAACTAAACATACTCTCAGATAACCAAGAGAAAAGCTCTACTCAAGTGCGTGTCATTACATAGTGCCATATAATTACAGAAATATACTACTATTCTATATACATTGGGGATAAGTCATGAGTAGCAAAGATCTCTTTGGACTTCACTTGAAAAAAGAAATGATCTCATTTCCTTCTAAAAGGCCCTTGTTTCTTTGGCCTTTACCGTCTGTGTGGAAGCTAAATTTTGAGACATGTGGAACTATAAATATCCCCCTGGGCACCCCTGTATCCCACTGCTCGGCGCCCCCTCCCAATACACGACGATTAGCAAAACCGCTCACGTGAGCCCCCTCCCTGTATTAAGGATATGACACGTATTAAGGCCATAAAGTCAGGGGCCCAGCAGCATCTGCTCCAATAGATTTTCGGGATTCCATTTAGAATTTCCTTTCAGCTGCACCAAAACCATCTAACAAAGTGAGAGGAATTCGGAAAATCCTACATAATGTAACCTTAACATCTGCCAACAAAAAAAGGACTGCCTAAATATGGGCAGCAGACACAGCTTGTGTCGGTAGTGAACAATCTGTCCTCAAAAGTTTCTGGACACTTGAAAAAAAAACAACAACAGGGGTTAGAAAGATAAAATTTACAGTACATCAATTATATAAGTGCTCTGAAGTGTATGAATCAAGTAATTCCTTTAAACCTTTACAGCTTACAGTTAAGTCCTTTTCTATTTATAACATGACAACAATGCCACTTCTTAAAACAAATTAAGCAGCACACGTAAACAAGGATGGAATAAAGGCAGTTCTGCTAAATTAGTAAAAGATGTTGAGCGCACACTTTTCTACGCTAAGAGCTGGCATGCTGCTTCAATACCTTGCTATCCAGTTTCTTCATGGTGACTAAATCCAAGGATTTGAGGGAATGCCCTGTCGGAGCGATGAAGTAAAGGCAGATGTGAATTCTCGTGTCATGGTAGTTGAAGAGGGAGCGCTTGATTTTCAGCTCTTCTTGCAGGTAGTTTTCAAACTGTGTGTCAATGTAGTCCACAATCGGTTTGTAGCTGCAGAGAGAACACAGCAGGCAAGATGAAACAAGAGCATTTGTTTTGAAGTTAACTAATATATCCCCCTAAAATCTTTTAATTTATTATTTAAATGCATAAATATGCTACTATATGTTAATAAACCTGTATGTCTACATCCAGTGTTTTACTCTCCTCATGTATAGGCAATAAATACAATAATCATAACCTTCAGCAACAGTCTTCAGGAATCATTAAATTTATACCTAGGGGAAGCTTTATAATTACCATGTTTTATCTTTGCACTCTTCAGATTAATCATGCTAATGTATCTTTAACTTTTAGTGAGCCTTGAAAGAAATATTTAGAAATCTGATACAGGGGTTATCGCTGAGGAGTAATGTGAACAAAACAAAGGAAAAACTGAACTAACACTATACTCTTGTAACACTACATTTTATGGTTATTCTATTAACTCCTGTTGAAATCAATGTAGTCATGCCTGTTTTGGGTTTTGTTGAATATTATTTGATTGCATTTCACAACTTATTAGCTGTTTTCCTTTAAGAGCTTCTTCAAAAGCCCCACGGGGAGTATCAGACAATGCACAATGTCAGACCCCTTACAATCCACAATCAATAACCTCATAAATTATATATTTCTAGACATTTAAAAGTCACAAGGCCATTCAAGCCAATCATTCCCTTCTTCTGAAAAATGTATTTTTTTATTTATTTATATGAAATAACCTTGGCTAAAAACAACTTGATTGAAATATACCAAAAGAAAAGAACCAATGTCCAATGTCTGATCAAAGCGAGAACAGTTGGTATTCACATTGCATTTTATAAATCAGTCTGCTAAACAACCATTTCTGCAAGAAATATTCCACAAAAGAAATCAATTTGGAGACTTACATGGGACATATTTAATATTCAATATTCAGTGACAAGTTATTCCAATTATTGACATTTTGAGTTTCTTCCACATTCCACCAAAAGAAACTGCCGGGCCAGTCCATGTGGCAAGCAAAATATTTGAACATTCACAAAAATCCCAGTCTCAATTCTTTTAAAAAATCTATACAACACATTTTGCTTAAGAAGAAAAACTGTGTGAATGATCTCCTGCCTTCATATGTCGCCAGGCGCAGAGTAGTGTCAGGCCCTTCAAGGCCTTGAAACCAGAACACCACCCAGCTGGAGCTCAATGGAAGAATTCCGCCTTCTCAAAAAAAATTCTAGCATCTTTTTTACATTTCGATATACCACCTGTTTCCCTTACCTGACTGGATTCTTTTTCTGCCTTTATTTTTCCTCTAAAACACATTATACCACAAATGAGAGTCCGTTCTTTACTTCTGTATACAAAAAAGAATTTAGAAAAAAAACAAGCAGAGAGCGTACTGATGAATTTCTGCTCTACAGCTACAGCTTTTCACCGTTTTGCACACATACCTGTCCTCTTTATTTATCTGATCCCCGAACCCCACTGTGTCGACAATCGTAAGCTTCAGGTGGACATTGCTCTCCTGCAAATCGTATGTTCTGGGGCGTAAATACACTCCATTCTGATAGTGGCTAGCCTCTTCATTTTCAAACGTTGTGTTAAAAAGCGTATTCATTAATGTTGACTTGCCAATACCCGTCTCACCTGGTGCAAAAAAAAAACAGACAAGTAAGAACATTCTGCAATGAGAAAAGTGTTTGGAAAATCATTGCTCACTTGTAGATGTGAATCTTTTCTAAATCATTCTAACAGCAATTAAGATCAAAATACAAAAATTAAGAATGAGATGAGGCTTTTTCAATTCATCTAGCTCATTTGGGTCTTAGTACAGTTACAAGAAAAAGTTTGTGAACCCTTTGGAATTACCTGGATTTCTGCATTAATTACTCATAAAAATGTGGTCTGATCTTCAACTAAGTCACAATAATAGACAAACAAAATCTTCTTAAACTAATAAGACACAAACAATTGTACTTCTTGTCAATATTGAACACATTGTTTAAACATTCACAGTCCAGGCTGGAAAAAGTACGTGAACCCTTTTATTTCATAACTGGTAGAGCCTCCTTTAGCAGCAATAACCTCCACCAAACATTTCTTGTAGCTGCTAATGAGACTTGCACAATGGTTAGGAGGACTTTTAGACCATTCCTCCTTACAAAAAAAGTTTTAGTTCATTGAGATTTCTGGGATTCCTTGCATGAACAGCTCTCTTCAGATCATGCCACAGCATCTCAATTGGGTTGAGGTCTGGACTCTGACTTGGCCATTCCAGAACACAACTTGTCTTCTGCTTAAGCCATTCTGTTGTTGATTTACTCCTGTGTTTCTGGTCACTGTCTTGTTGCATCACCCAACTTCTACCCTGACATTCTCCTGTTAAGTTTCTAGATACAATTTTGAATTCATAGTTCCCTCTGGGATAGCAAGCTGTCCAAGCACAGAGGCAGCAAACCAGCCCCAAACCATGATGCTCCCTCCACCATGCTTCACGGTTGGGATGAGGTTTTGGTGTTGGTGTGCAGTGCTTTTCCCCCCCCTCTAAACATAGCGTTGCACGTTTCTCCCAAATAGTTCAACTTTTGTCTCATCCATCCATAGAACACTGTCCCAGTGTTCAATACTAACAAGAAGAAGTACAATTGTTTGTGTCTTATTAGTTTAAGCAGCTTGCGTTTGTCTATTATTGTGACTTAGCTGAAGATCAGACCACATTTTCATGAGTGGTTCATGCAGAAATCCAGGTAATTCCAAAGGGTTCACCAACGTGTCCACTTCCTTTTTGAAGGATCTGAGACTGCTTTTACACCATGGTTGGGCAAACTCCCATAATTCTCTATGATTTGGCCCATCATTCCCTCTTAAAATCTAATCATTTTCCTAAGTGAAACTTTTTCAGATTTCTTACATTTCCTCCCAAAGACTGTATCCCACTACTGATTTTCTCTTGTGCACATAAGGTGATGCAAATGACAAAACCATTCCGTTTTGAATCCTTTTATTTCCAAACATCAAACATTCTAGGGGTGAAAGCAAAAAACTAAAAACTACATGCTCAAATATAACCTTTGCAAATGATACATAAGAAAAACAAGTATGACATTCAGGCTAAAATGAATGCACAAAACAGATCTAAATAAAAAAAAATGAAAAGTGAAAAATCACCAACAGACTTACCTACACAGAGTATATTGAAACAGAACCCCTGTGTCACTGATTTACTGACGAGCTGATCTGGAAGACTGTCAAATCCAACATGGCCCGCAAGATTGAGGTTCCGTTTTTCTTCATTCTGTTCAAATAAGCCAAGCGGTAATTTTAAATGACACCCCAGAAACATTGCTTTTTCAGTCCCCCTCCTAAAACAACTGCTGTTAATTATGTCGATTATATGACTGTGTAATTAAAAATGAAAATAACTGTAAAAGTACAAAAACTGGATTGTTTTGATGCATTTTTTTTAATTTGTCCTCCTTTTAACCATTGTATCATTCATCAAAAAAAAAAGTCAGAATAGTACCAATTGAAACAACTGCAATTCTTCCCATCAGACCTCACAAAACCTAGAAAAATTCTTACAGCATTTTTACCCACAAAATACAGGAATACTAACATAGGCGAATTAAGAGGACAATTGAAATATTTAATATATTCATTCTGTTCATTTTCATACAATGCTTAATTTAAATATGAATAGCCTTAACACACCATAGAGAAGTGTAGAACTATTACTAATCAACAGTATTATATTAGAGTTTCCTTCTCATCTTTCTAAAAACCTGAACTCTTTTCTCAGGCTGGCAAGCCGAACCACTGTTCTGACACTGCACATTCCAATTACGCTGGTCATAATGTCACAACACAGGAAATGAAGATGTTAGTATCTCTGGCAAAACTCTCACAGCTAGTGCCTCAGACCCCACCCCCCTCCCCCATTCCTCTGGAATGTTTTTTTTTAAAGAAATGTGGGTTCCCATGAATAAGCAAGGCCAAAACAATCTGTGTGTTCCAGCTCCTTTAGTGATAAGTGTACTGAAGAACACAAGGGCATGTTTCTGCACCTCAAACTGAAACACACACAGATCCAGCAAAGGCATGGCCTTATTTTAAATAAAAGAATACACCTTGAATACATCTCACCTGCACTTATTAACTATATACAAAGTATGTGTACAACTTTGGTTGAATTGTTTTTCAAAGGGCAAAAGCTGTTCCTTCATGGCCCCTGTCTGTGCAGCAGTGCAGCAATTGCATTGAACAGGCAAAATAACTAAAAACTGTTTACGCTTAAGAAAGCACATCTAAGATCAGAAGATATGAGGTCCTAAATATAACTATTAAACTATGTGTCAGTCTACATATCCTACACGTTCAATCAGCAAACGATTCACTCCTTAAAAGAAGATCTTTTCCAAGGTCTTGAGAAAATACTGATAGTGTCTCACTGTTTGTAAAAACAGATAAAAGCCTTTGCTTATGAGATTGCAGAATTTCCAAATGTTTCATTATAGACAGTGCATAAACAAAAGTGCATAATCAAATTAGAAAATAAATCTTTATTATTCTGGTACATTTAAGTGTAAAATCTTACTGTCCTCCCCTTGAGCTGTGGGATTGTCAAGCACAAGCATTCTCACTACATACTCAGTAGATGATGTAATCTGAATCTGCTGCAGATCTCAGACCACTCAGCCTGTTATGACTACAACACAGGACATACACTATCAGTACACTACCTTAGGGAACACAGCAATTTGTCCAAATTATTTCATCGGGCTGATTGATGACAGAGTAAAACACCAACCACTGTATTGCAAATGTTACCATCAAAATGGTAAGAAAGCACAAATATACAGATCATGACAAAGTAAGATTTTTAACTAGGAGAAAATAGAAAGGCAGTTTAATATGCTTCTTTCTTAAAAACATTAGTCATGGACCTGACAAAAAAACATTGCAATTCACACAGTAAAAGAGCAGAATTCATTCTTGTATGAACTGGCTACTGATGTTAAATGCAATTTAATTTACAAACTAAAAGGAAGTCTGAATGAAGCATAGTAAGGGCAACAGGCTGGACTAGGGAGACCAAAGGCTTTTACACACATGAGATTCAGTTCAGTAACTAAACATCCACTCAGAAATCATTCATTCTTACTAACACCAAGCAGATGGATTTGCGGATTTGGGTAACAAGCTCATATCCTGTAAAATATCATCAAGGATGACAGCTTATATACCATCCCTTGAAACATATGGAATAACTGGCTCACTGAACTGGTGTGTACACAGCAAAATGCAATACTAGGGGAATAAATGCAAGATCCCATCTCAGGGCGAAGGCTGATGACTACACATGTTCACACCTGGTTGGTAAGCAGCAATGTGCACAGATGAAAGCTTAATCATTCCCATCCTGAGGGCCAATGAAATCAGCACGTTCAGGTGGGACGATCTCTTTACTTCCCACCGACTGTGGAGAATTCGTTGGCACCAGCTAAGCCATTCAGCTGCTCCATCAGACACTGATAGGAAAAAAATACTGCAATTGTGCACGTGATTTGATATAATGACAATCCAACCAGCCACCTTCCAGTAATCCTCAAAGGATCTAAATATTTATCCATTATACAACAAATCAATCAACTTGTATCAATTTCTCTAAGGCTTTTTTTTAGTTCTCCAGACTAGATAAGAAGAAAAAAAAGTTACACTGTGGTGTGAAAGTCTTTTCCTCAGTTATGAGTGAGAAGAAAAAAAGCCCTTTTGTTTTATCTTGATGAGCTCAGCAAAACCAAATAATGTGTTAGCAATCAATGGTGCTGAGGTCTTACAATTTAATTAGCTTTAGAGCACGGTCTTTGGTTCACTGAAATATACGTTATAGGCAAAATACAGAAAATAACCAAAGGCAATGTAGAAAATAAAAGACCATTTTAAGGATTTGGTAGTAATCAGAAAACGTTTGTCCCGAAACAGGCAAGCAAAGTAAATTGGAAGTTATATAAGTTATATATTCAGTATACCAAATCTTCCATAAGTCTTGTGTGCTCTTTAGCTGTATTTAGTCTAAGGTATCACATGATTAGAGTCCCATACACAGTCAAAGGAAACTTCAAGTTTTCTCTGTTTGGTTCGAACCATTACACACCCTGTATGTATTTGTAAAAGAAAGTGCATATAAACACATAACACAAGAAACAAATCTAGAAATCTAATATGAACAGTGGAAAAAAAATGTTTTGAAAAAGGACAGTGTTGCATTGTAACTCTACCAATAATACAGTCACAGGTAACAATGACTTTCATTTCATATGGGGGTAAAAAACCTTAAGTGTTTTAAGTTAATAGCAGCTGCAGGCATCTGTACTGACAGATCAGCCCTTGGGAATAGGAGAATCTGTCTCCCTTGGCCAAAGGGAAATGAATTCTTCTTGCACACATATTTGTTTCTTTTTGCTGCTATTTTTTTTATTTCATTAGCATAGCAGTTGTCATCTTATTCCATTTGTAAGACAATGAACCCATTCTCTCTGATCTATTAGTTCTTACCTCACCTGTTAAACTGAATCTCAATTGAAACTAACAGTTTAAACAGTTCAGTGCTGCCCTCCACATCCATAACAAAAGTGAAACCTTATTTCAATACCCTGCCTTGGCGCTTAGACATTCAGTAGTAGGTGGTGTTTAGCCTCATGAGTTAAAAACACCCGTGTGATGACCTACCTACTATAATAAATTCATGAAAAGGGAGATGAGTCATCCATATTGGCTGCCGAAGCAGAAGAACTACCCGCTATGCATAAGGAGAATCAGTTTTTGATCAGTTTCCAAGTCATTGTAATGCAGTATGAGGGGGGTCTAAAACAAATCAACAGTGATTGCAATGAGGGACTCAGCAATGCGCTGTGATGATAGGTTATTTTAACATGAGCAGAGAAGAAAGTTACTGTACAAAAAGACACCACTACATTGTTCTTTCAGAGTGTATTTCTAGTTCACAAAAGCACAAAGGCATTATAATGCATCTTTAGGGGGACATATACCACTTTAAGAAAACTCTATAATTCTTATGTGTTGTCTGATTTTTGTTTCTACCTGCCTTCTTGATACCAGTGCAGTGGCATTGCATACTATAGCTATACATATATCATTTAAGCACTATTCTTATATGTACAACTACATTTAGTACTGCAGCTATATAAGAAGATATATTTTAAGTCAGATGAAATCTTTCTAAATGGTGACCAGCCCCAGGTGAATTCTGCACCATAAAAAAAAGAGATGACACCTTCTGTGTGATAAAAGCAACTACATTGAGAAACCCTAAATAGAACATAAAATAAAGCTAAAAAGATGCATGCATCAAATAGAAGTCAATTGGTTGGAAGTGCATGTGATTGGCATTATCCAAACATGATCCAAATGCTCTGTGCATGTTTTTTTTTTTCCCCCTTTGACAGATATGGGAACTACGACCAAAATACTCCTGGTAATGTCACATGGATTCACTGATGCTGTATTCCAAGCCCAAAGAAGAAATCAAGAATCCCAGATGAAATTACATTTTAGAATAAAATATTTAAACTGTAAGAAAAACAGTCCAGATATTGTACTTAGGATTTATCCCAAGCAATGTAGGAATTCAGTGAAGAATCATAAGTAGCAAGTCACTCAGGGCAAAGAACAGGGCACTGTACAAACTCAGCCCAGTCTGTCAACTAACAATCGCCTATTCTTCTGGAGCTCTGCAGCTCAGCACTCACACAACAAAGAAAGATAATGAATGTTTTCTTCATCTGTTATTTCATGGGGTCATTAGATTTTCGTTCTCATTGACTACCGACATTAATCATGGAGATATTGCCATACTTAGATGCAATTTAGTCTGTCCACCTAGAGATTAGACAATTGTGAATGGTAGTTGGAATACTATTATTTCATATTTTTCTCATTTTCTGTATCTTTTGTACTAATGATATAAGGACCTTGAGAAAAAACATTTGGCGATTGACAAATTCGTAAACTTATTTGATTAAGGGGAAAAACCCTACTGAGAATTAAATAGTCTGGAGATAGTAAGTAAATAAGCACATACTAAGATCTGCACATCACTTCCCACCAATTAGCTTTAAACAGTCTTGATTTCTTTGAGAGCGCCATCAAGCAGATCTAACGAGCTTGTTACACACTTCAAATGGTTTCACAACGGGCAGAGCTCTTTATACCATATGCTGTGTAAAAAAAGCCTTTGTTCCAAGATGACTTTAAACATTAAGCAAATGTAATCTGGAGTTACATTGAAGAAACACTTCAACAAAGCAGCGCTTGTCTGATATTGCTTGTATTTTTGTTAGCTGTGAGAACTACCAATCTCAAACTTGGTATGTGGTTCTGAGACAACTTCCCATCATGTGAAGGTACAGATTTATCTGTAAAAAGTTAACAGTTTTAACTGCCTTCACCTACAATGCTGAAGGTTGTTGATTTCACTCCTGCACAGTCTTCATCACCCCTTTTTTCATATTGCGAGCTAAATTACCCCCCTGGTAAAGCAAGATGAAGCAGGACCTATCCTTCTGCTTCACAGTCTCAAAGCCTTGCAAACTTCCTCCATTTAGGAAATGTCCGACCACTAAAAATGTATGAAGATTGTTTATGATATGTTTCTTCTTGTTTTACCTTTCATCCTCTTTCAAAATTTGCTTATTATTGATGACCACAATAATTGGACTAGATGGTCTTAAATTCATATGCCTCGTTATAATAAGAGACTTAGAATAAAAGCTGTCATACCAATCTTATTCAAACTGCATAAAAGCTTTTAAAATGATGTTACAGTGATAATTTCGCAAACTCAAAGCAGTAGGAGATAACTCACATATTTCTTTTCACAGGAACTATGTTTATAGCAAAGACATTTTGATGTAGACTTGGTGGGGGGCAAGGGAAACTCTCTTTATAAACCTAAGGGGGCAAATAACGATTTAAGAATTGTACCCTTTATAATACTGATTTTTGAATGACATCATAACATACACACATCGTTAGCTTCAATTCTGCTTAAAATCAGTACGAAAGTGGAATCAACTCTCTAACCTGAAGGTGAGTAGCTTGATGCTAATCTATTAATCCACTTAATGCCTGCAATCCGGCAATTCAAAAGAATCTCTTTTGCGAATGCTTAATGTCAAAAGGAAATACTCGGATTTTTTTTTTTAATCGAGTCATCACATATGGACCACGTTGCAGGCCAATAGTCCGCATCACTATGCTTTACTAAGATTTATGGTCTCAAAAAAAGCAATCTCCTATTATAGAACAGCTTCACTGTGACCCCAACCCTCTCAATCTCCAGTCCGATTGTAATTTGAAGGTCAATGTGTATTATGTAATTGCGTTGAAAGATTTGTCCGTTTTTAAAGTGTGCGTTTCCAGTTCAGAAGCTAATCAGGCAGGCACTATGGATTTTAAACAACATGCTTCCTTACGTGACATGTTTTATACACAAATTCTGACTACAGACACGATTAATTTAGACGCCGTTAATCTAAAGAAGGCAAAACACTGATGAAAATGAAGGCTGTTTTCACCCGTTTCCATGCATAATGTATGGAGATAAGGTGTGTCTTCCACTACGTTAAGGAGATGATTTAAATAAGATACTTTTCAACGCTGCCTTCATTCAAAATCTGCGTACCTAACCACCGAATTACATTGACAGAAGATAACAATATACGGTTTTATCCTGTGTAATTTGCTTTAGAGGTAGTTTTATTTACGACTAGTAATCATGATTTCATCTTTTAAAGACTATACGTACATGTGCGCACGGTTTTCAATGCGCAAAACCAATTGTTAAACTTTAACATAAAAGATCACTTTAAAACAGCACAGTCGAATGTCTAAACATTTCAAAATAATCACAACACTTAAACATTCAGAACCATCATTAACCTAATACAGCTAAATTTATAAAACCTATAAATTTGCCTGCTTTACACCTATAATTTTGTCAGTGCGAACAGTACAAGCTAACGGTTTTAAGGGAATACCTAATTTCATTTTAGATCTACTGGATCTCCAGATACTGAAAGCTAAATTTTTCCTATAACCACCCATTATATTAGTCCTGCCAACCCAACAGAGCACAATGCCAGTAACGTAGTAAGGTTATGGTCGGATCCACACAGTAAATGACAATTATCTCCATTCAGGCCTGATTCGTGCATCTAAATGTATCTTAAATATTATAAACACCAGACTACTAACACATCAAAATCAGCATTAATGTGAATCGCTACTACTACTAGGCAAGCTCGCTACTGTATTTCTTAGGCTAACTGGCTGTGGTGAACAACGTTAAAGAAAACCCGAAGGGGAAAATAATTACTTGTCCAGCTCATCTATGAATTTCTGATGAATGCATACTTACTGAAAATCTGTCTATATCCGTGGCAGCCATTGTAGTATGTGTGAATATTTGATCAAGCAGCAGAGCAAACAGGGGCTGTCTCCGTCTTTCTCTCCCTAAACTGACACAGTGGAACTGCTCAATGAATCCAATATGGCTACTTCCTGGATACTCCCACTGTTAAGGAATACCATTCCCACAAGTCGGAGCGTTTTATGTCGGGACCGTTTGTAATTTCATCATTCAACCCGCCAGAACAGATGTGCTGTGATGAAACAAGAAAAAATGGCCAGGCGGTTGAGTTCTCCACTTTCTGGAAAGACAACAGAGCCCGGGTTATTGTGTGATGAGGCGAACGTCTCGCCCCAAGCGTTCCCGGGATCTGTAGTTTCCTGTTGGCTCTTCGAAATACATCAAAAAGTTTGAGATTTGATAAGAGTCCAAGATGTAGGCCCGTTAACAGCTAGTTCTGAAGAACAAATTATGTTTCCATTTTTACACCAGTTTCATTGCACACGTAATAAGCCTATTTAAAAGTCCAGTAGATTTTCTCTTAATTGCTATTCCTAGCTACAGGTATTAAGACCTACTTTGTATGCAACTTCTGTTTATATAACACGGTTTATTTATTCAATATTTTTATTTAGTTTTGAGTAATACTTTAGAATGGGTGTTTCCCATGGAAAACTATTCCAAGTTTTTCAATTTTTTTAAGGCCTTTAGATCTTTAGACCGCGTTTAGATAACAATAATGCTGAAAATACTAATGGTTACACAGAACACAAGGGTTCGGCACATTGGTTAAATGCAATATTTATGGCCAATTATTTTTTTTTATTTTTGGGAAATGGAAAAAAGCATACATAGCTCTTTAGTTTTAATAGTACTATAATGTATATCCAATATTTTCTGCAGCATCATCTTCAGATGGTGAGACGTTGCTCGGCCAATGTAAATTTGATCAAATCGTGTAAGGTTTCTTTTTTCAAGCCTACACAAATCTTCACGATATTTGGGGCTAAGGCGATTTTTGAGGGAATCCTACTAACCTACGACAGGCTACTGCTCTGAACAATTAATTCCCATGGACACTTTCAAACTACTCCATCACACTGATTGCAAACTTTTTTTCTGATGTTGTTCTTTAATATATGTATGTATTTATTTTGCACGTTCAAACTTATTCCCTGTTTAATTCTACTGCCTAAAGTTTGAAAACTGACGTAAATAAACTCAATTTACATATTTTAAAGGCCTCTAACAGTGTTTTTAAAAGCCAATACAATAGACTACACTTACCAGAAAGCACTGTGACGCGAAACACCCTCCCTCTTTCTCTCTGTTATCCGCATATATTATTCTAATGAAGCCCAGATGGGCACTCTCCCCGGAAACTCCAGGTAGATCTGAAGACACCAACTACAGATTGCGTGATAAACAAGCAAGTAAGGAAACTTGGTTGAACTTGGCATGTGTTTTCTGCACTGAAGTCGTTATTATTGTAGCAACAGTGTATCACACAGGTGTGAAAAAATGGATGTGATTCTGACTCAAGACACAGTTTTAAAATTCCTGTTGGACAGGGGCGGCAAAGCTAAAAACTCCGATATGCTGAGCGAGTTTAAAGGTCTACTAAACTGCGGCGATCCCGAGGAAAAGAAACAAAACAGAGACCTCTTTAAAAGGTTTGTGAACAATGTCGCGGTAGTGAAAGACTGCGAGGGGGTTAAATACATTGTGATCAAGAAAAAATTGCAGCATCTGGTGAAAGAGGACGCATCTGTGCCCGCAGAAAATTCCAACGCAGAAAAGAGGTCAGAAACAATAAGTGAATTGGCGTCACCTAGTACAGGTGAAGATCACAGTGGACAATATGAAAGTGCTGTAGGTAAGACCTTGTCTTCCGACCTTGAAAACAATAATGTGACAATGCTTTCAAGCACCAACGAAGGCTTTTTAAAGAGAAATTCGAGTGATTCGTTCCTTGAATTGGCGTTACACAGAACTCGGGCTTCGTCACACACCCCGGCAGCGGTTCTTGACGGTAGCGAAGCCGCTTCTATGAAAACCACACAGGACAAGCCTTCAAAGGCTAAGAAGTCCACATTTTCTGCGGACGTCGGGTGCGTAATTGAAAAGACTGGGAAGACCGGTCTTGTTTTCGCAATTGTGGCTGTGCCCGATCGTTTAGCCCCAAACTCACAATCACAGCCGGATCTTCCTGCTCATTACCAGGAGGAGAAACAGGAGAGGTCATTGGTCAGAGACACGTTAAACCTAGGCAACCAAAAACCAGTTCAGAAACCCTATATGCTTCCCCTCAGAGTTCCTCCACCCCAGATAAATACTTTATCTTCTGGTGAGGAGAACAAAGAGAAACTTCAACAAAAGAGCCCATTAGAGCATGAACATTACAGGTCGCCTAGAACCAAGAGGAGACAGCTAGAGGAAACTGCCGCTCCTAACTCACCATACTTGAAACGCGTTTCCAAGATCATCAAACCAGGCGAGGATCAGGTGAGCTCGGATGGGATACCCCTGGACCCGGCAGAACACGAGTGGCTGGTGAAAACGGCAGCAGGACAGTGGACCCAAGCCTATGGCCTCCTCCTGCGGGACACCAGTCTGGCAGGGAAGAGGGACTTCATGTCTGGTTTCACGGCCCTCCACTGGGCAGCCAAAAGTGGGAACAGCTGCATGGTGGGCAAAATCATCGAGGTCTCCAAGAGAGGTGGCACAGAGGTTGATGTGAACGCCAAGACCTACGGGGGCTACACACCACTGCACATCGCTGCCATACATGGCCACGAACAGTTACTGGCAACGCTAGTCCAGGACTATGGTGCGAACAGCCACATCCGAGATAACAGTGGCAAGAAGCCCTATCAATATCTGCAGAAAAAGGTGTCAGCAGAGGTCAAAGAGTTGTTAGGAGACCCCCACATAATGCATCAGGATAATATTCAGAGAAGAAGAGAAGACGAGGACCGGTTTCAGGAACACCTCAAAACCTTTAAGAGCCAGACACTCAGCAGGCTGTTCAATCCTCACTTGGGAACTAAAAAGAAACATGCCAAGCAAAGGCCAGGCTTCTATTCTATTAGTGAGGAACAGGATGAAGAGCGGAAGGGGGGTATGGTCAAGCGCAGACCTGTGTCTGAGTTATTTTTGTAAGTAAGCAAGCACTGATGTCTCAGTGGATTCCTGGACCGGACTCTATATGGGGAGAAACTTTTTTTTTTAAATTATGAAATGTACTGTCAGGATAAACAGCACATTTTAGCACAGGCTTTTAGAAGACTTACAAGAAACTGGACTTGAGCTGGTGTGATGATATTTTTTAGGTGCATTCTTTGAAGTTCATGCCTGTCACTGGATCTAAAGGTTGGGAAAAGGGACAGGGAGCACAAAGAGAATGGGAAATCTAGCTTTTAGTAAGAGTCAATCTGCCATGCAATGAAATTTATGTCATAAGTATTTTTTATGAACTAGTTAAGAATTTGCCTTGTCTGAGTGTTTTGCAATATCTGCTACACTGTACTCATTTTGCTCACTTTTAATTTTACTTTTTCAGAGGACCACAAACACCACTCATACAATATTAGTCTTAGAGTTCCAAGTCCAAATCCACCCAATTTTGTTTTATTGTATACTACAGGGTGGAGCACAGATTACAGATAGGCTTGTATAACTTACTCTTTGTCTTGTGTTATACCTGAAATATTTAATTTCAGTATAGTAATGTGAATTGGTTCAAATATTTTAATATCATTTGGCTGTGGCATTTCTTTATCAATGACAATAAAAGTTTAAATTTTTAATTATTTTCTAAAACATCTTGTGTTCCATTGCCACATTTTATTATACTTTTTTCCTATTATTTCAGTGTCTTCCTTGGATAAAGTTCAGGAACCGTCTGGATCAGCTAGATATATTAATTTGTAGCATAACTGACATTATTGTGTAATATTAAACCTAACAAGAGATCCTTTGCTGGAGTGAAATGTAGAATGATATGGACCACATTTCATAGAAGATGCTACCCTTTTATTAATGCAATTAACCAGTGATTATTTCAGTTGTTGCAAAGGAAAACAATACTAGACCAATAAGGATCATGCTGTTGAACTCTAAAATTAAACACTCATTCTGTGCCAACTCAGTCATGGAAACACACCATTTAAAAATTTTAAGAAGTCTAATGTATACTGTGAGACAGTAAAAACTCAACAAACTACAGTTAGAACAACTAATGTGTTGTGTTTTGAATGTCTACTTTTTTAATGTTTAGTTTAGGTACTAGTTGCTAAGGTATGAAAAATATTTTTCTTATTCTCTTCTTTCAGATAATATAAAACACCAGGGAAGATGGGCCTTTTAAATACTGGCAATTTATAAACTATTAATGATGCTTAGTGATTTATATGAATGTGTAAAAAAGGGATACGTGATTTTACTGGGGCTATCAAAAAGGCGCAACTCCTAGCTAAGAACAAAAATGAGCTACTGTATATTAACCAAAACTCAGATTAAAGTAAACGTGAGGACTGTTTAGGGACAGTAGATCCAAATATGAATGATAATGTGCTTTTGGAATGGAACTAATGAGAAAAATGTCTGATATTCCAGATCCATTGATTCGTTTCACTTTGGGTATTAACATAATAAGGTAATACAATGGGGTTTTTTAATTGTATGTGCTTTGTTTCTGCAGATAAACAGTGAGATGATAATATTCATGCGAGGTCAGTACAGGAAATGTTCAGGTATAGTGCATCCACCACTTTTCAACCACACCATCCCCCACATAGAGACACACTTTTCCAATTTTTCAGGCAAGCACTTTAGAGTTTATTGTATGAACTTCTGTCCATTTCTGTAACTGTTTCAGCTCCTATAATATTTTGTGTTTTAGTGCCATGTTATACTTTTGTAAAACTGATAACAACATTAGCAACCTATTATTAAAAGATTGGAAAAAGTCAGAAGATTATTTTCATGTCATAAGTTCAATATCTTCTGCAAAATGCAGTTGCGTTGTATTGTATGTGCTGTCCTGATTCTGTTGATAGTTTTGATTAAGGTGCAGCATGGCATGTATAGGCAAAGTGTGTTGTTTTCCCTAAATTCCTGTCTTCCCTCTTGTTTGATTATGTCTGAGCTTGAAGTGGTTGTAGGAACTGTGTGAGAGGGCTGGAAAGAGAGGAGCGCAGGTGGGTGGGACTTGTGGTGCACTAAATGCAAGCTTGTGAATTATTTTCCTTTTTTTTTATTCAATAAACGTCTGACTTGAACTAGTTTTAATCAATGCACATCTACCTCTTAAGTAAGCAATAAAAGTTTAGAAAGTTCACAAGACTCCATTCCATTCCAGATTCCTGTGGAATCGCGATATGCAAGAAGACAATGAACTATTCACAGGCCCAATTAAGAAGAGAACAATGTACGTTCCAGAGCTGCTCTACATCGGTTTTTCTCATACGGTTTTTAAACATATGCAGGAGAGGTTAATTCATTCCAATGGATAAGATACACGATACAAAACACTGTCAGACAACATGAAGAGCTGCATGCACTTCTCTGCAGACTGAAACTACTTTGTAAGGATATCGTACTGTTTTACATATATTTGATATATAATCTGGTATGGTGAAAGTACTGGACTGGTGAATATTTTCATAAGATAATATATATTTAAATTATTTTTTTATCATAATTTAGGGAAAAAAAAGTAATTCTTTTAAAAATCTCCTGCAATTGCTGAAACGCATAAGGATGTGTTTCTATGTGAATAGTAGCCCTTCTTTCATACTCAAGAGTCTTACTGTCCGACGTGGACCACCTCTGCATTCCCTTCACAGTTGGGCTTGTCTAGAGGGCCTGTGCCCTTGCATATCTCTTGACCTGCCCGCTGGCTTTATTTTTTTTATTCTTTTCATTATTTGACTTTGCCAGACTAAGATCATCAAACATAAGAAGGCTTAGAAACAAGAATCAAGTGTTCAATCCATTTGCTAGCCAGTTGCTAACCGATCCCAAAATCCAAAATCCAGAGTTGTGGTCTAAGACAGTTCCACAGCTCCTGAGAACGTGTGGCCTATTTTCAGTATTAAATCTGATTTGAACATGAAGTTTTCATGAAACAAGAACAAGGAAAACTGAATAATGATACACACTAACATAACGAGAATGATTAAATATCGGTTCAGGTGGGTAGTTGTGTCAGCATGCGTAGTCCGCAAAGGAACAATTTAAAGGTTTATTCCATGCTGAAAAGAGAAGAGAGAAAATGCAACATTTTGGCTATGGAGCATTCTTCTGGTGGAGAAAGACAGGGCAGACAGCAAAGATTAAATAGCAAAGGAGAACAAAAGCTGGGAGAGTGGAGGAGGCAGGAGCAGGGGAGAGGCAGTGAGGCCACTCAGGTGGTGTGAAGTGGAGAGAGGTGAGAAGTCAAAAGAAGATTACACGAAAACAAGTCTGTCATTGCGAGAAGGGGGAAGGATGAGTTTTGTTAAATATTGACTTATACATTGACTCATTTTACAGAATGGTCATTGTTGCTTAATCTAGTTTTTTTTATTAACATCTCTCATGAAAGACAGATATTGCCTTAAATGTATATAAAAATGAGTCATTAGGTCTTCAAGTCTGTGAAAGAATCATCAGATGGAATTATCACCCCAGACTGACAGTCACAATCTTTGTGTAGGTAAGAACTTCATGAAGTGTGTGACTTGTTAATGGCCACTGAGTTTAAACTGATTTGATTAAAGAGATTTATTCACTAGGAATAATAACACTGGAGAATTAAGTGTACTAAAAGGATTATTTAGTCCAAATTTGACTTGACCTGCTTAAATCTAACCTCATGGCCACAGGACAAGGAGGCTGGGACCCCTAGGCAGAGTGAGGAGTGACCAAGGGGCAGCTGCAGAGGTGGAGGTGGGATGCAAAAGACATGCAAGGAAGGGAATGGGAATAGGTATAGTATTTATAATGTTTTAGGTGAGGAGATGATGTCGGGGTGATTAGAAATTACTAACAGCTGAGTGTGATTGAACTTGGCTGTTGTCATCCCTCCTGAACTTGTGTTATAAACTCCATTTAAAGATCGAGCCAATTTTGGTTTGGCTGCTGAAAACTGCAAATCCACAGTAAACGCAGCATAGCCACCCTGTCCCCTGACACCCAGTACTCTGCACTATCCGTTTTTCTTTGATTAGGTCATCAGCCTTGGAGGACATTTCTTATTGCAAACTCTATCACTCCTTAGAAGAGTGAAGCTCTCGTTGACAGCTTCATTAATGCTATAAAAGAAAACGTTGCCATAAGCAAATATAACACACATTTGTGCCATAAAATAGAAAACGTTTACATTAATAATTATTCCTGCATTACTGTAGTTGGAATGAATATGATGTATTTACGGCATTTTGTCAACTTTTAAATTAATTTTCTGAATTTCATTTCAGCTTTGACCCGTCCTCTGTTTCTTTGCCAATGTTGAAATTAATGAGAACACCAAATTGTTTGCCATATATATCCATAACATTCAGCTTTATATATATATAATATATTATGAGTATGTTTGTTCTACAAAACCCGCTCCTGCGCTCCAGTCGAGTTTCAAATACCTTCAAATGTTACTAACAGGGCGCGGTGAAAAATATTCTGACGTAATACAATAAGTATGAAACCTAATGAACAACCGTGTATCTGCAAAGTGACGAAAAGCAGAACGTGTGCTCATGCAGGGGTGTTTATACACCTGCATCTGTGCCCAAACTGCAATGCAGTATGTTCGCTTCGTACGGTTTTCTGAAAATAAGGAAAATGTCGGTTGGGATGAATTGGCACACTGTGGTTACCAGGACGGTTCGTCTCGCAATCCTCCTGTCACTTCTGATTTTGTCAACTCCCCGTGATGCCGGCTGGAAGCTTAACTGCTGAATCGAAATACACAAAACACAATGGCTGCTCTGTACGGCTATCAGCATCGTCACGTAGCCTGCGCAAAAATGAATTAGACCCGTCTGTTACAGCCAAGACATTCACCTAAACTGGGAAGAGGTGTTGCGAATGAAATTCAGCTGCAGGCGTATACGCATGATATAAATTCAAGTAGGTAGCTGCGCAAACTGCAAAGGAAAAAAAGGTTTATTCCATGCTGAAAAGAGAAGAAAAGTAACACAACGTTTCGGCTATGGAGCACACCCGAAGAAGGGTGTTGGTATGATGCGTGAAAGTAAGATTTAAGATTACTGGAATTGGTCAAAAAAAATTAGCTAAGTGTAGCCATAGCTTTCATAATCTGACCACTTTTAATTTATCTTTTAATTCAGAGGGTGAAGAAATTCTCTGTTCCAATGCAGAACTACAAAACGCACAGGAAACAGAAGTAATTCACTTTAATTTGTCAACAAATGTAATTTATTCACATTGTAACAAAAGTCTCATGTATATATTATAGTTTTCATACGACAGATAAAAAGCCAATTCAAAGCACAAGACCGACTAGGTGCTTTGTACAGGTTTCTGAATCAAGCACAATCAAGCTAAATTAAACAGTCTGAGAACTACATGAGAGACTGCCCTTATGAATCAGAAAAAAAACAAAGTCATGGACATCATGAATTACACATCCATTAATCGGTAGCAACTCATTTAAACTTGTGTGATTCAAGAAATGTCAGAAATAGCCATTTGGAAATCCACTAACTTAGAGCTTCAGGATACCAGCTCCAGCAAGAACAACCCACGAACACAAAATGCAGACATTATACACATATATAACCCTTATAAAACAGGACAAGGAAATGGCGTGGAGCAGTGTGAAGAAGTTGATCTGTCTTATTTTGCTGGTGTTAATTTCGTTTGGGATAGTTGTTCCATTTACCCATATATCACATCCTATTACAGTGAATGCCACAGTCATTTTTATAATTATGATACTTCATCATACTACTGAAATTATCGCTCATGTAGATATTATGCTGAAATATGAAGTCAGCACTGTAACAAATCATGCTACAAAGGTCTTTGAAATATTTAGTGGCGAAATACACATATATAGTATTGCATATTTCAATATTACAAAATATTTTAAATTCCAAAACACTTTTGCAGATATTGTGGTCATCACACTTTCTTTATCTTTTGGCCCTGGAATTATAGTGGCATTTTATTATGTTACTACATTTTCTCCAGAGTCACATTATAAAGAAAATCCTCCTATGAACTATGGGATTAGTCCCTATATTGCTCTAAAATAGCCTGATCAGACAATTCTATCTAAAGACAGGATTACTGATGGATACAACTAATATATTTAACAGTTTTTTTCCTTTAAAATAATACAGCAATAATTAGTTTGACATTCATTATATAATTACAATAGCATTATATATATATTTTACTTTGATTTTTTCCCATCACTAGTTTATGGACCACAAAGTTTAGGGTCCTGAAATCAATGTAATTTAAAATTAAAAATCTCGTTTTCATATGGAAAAAAAATCTCAATGAGCCAGACATTGTTTACTGATTACAGATCCTTTTATTGAATTTCTGATCCAAGTGACCAAGACACTTTTATTTACAACAAGCTTCACTTGGATGGATGTGTGGCTCAGAAAATGAAATATAACCACAGTGAGATAGCCGTGTCTAATCACAGTGTGATATAGAACTACACTATGTCAAACCCTTCATCCAACCAAATTTAAACTGGGCTGTTTATTTATTTTTAAATCACACACCATTCTGTATGAGCAAGCAAAGGTACAGAAAATATCATGCACAAAATGCTACGTTGTTTTTACAAAAATATATTACAACATTGCTCTTAAGAAGGTGATTCAAGTCAAGACAAAAGAGGTGAAAGACAAAATGTCTCCCTGTCTTTGTGCATTAAGGCAGGTGAGTGATGAGCATATACTAAGTGTCGTTACTGTGCTGTGTTAAAAACATCAGGTTCCGAGTCTGCTATGAAGATGTGCAGCAGCGCTGGAAATTAATAACAGCAACTGTTTTCAACACATTCAGTTCTGGTGCCAAGTTCAGTGCTTTCCACGAACCAAGTTCCATGGATGCCTGGCTTTCTTTGAAGCTCTGTGTAGGCAAAATGGATGATCATGGGCATTATTCTGCAAGCATTTCTGCAATTATGCTGCCTCAACACTATCCATTTCTATTGAACAGTGTGGAAAAAAAGGAGAAATCTATCAGTTAAAATGAGCTTAAAATAAATAAAATACATGTGTATTTATGATTAATACAATAAGATCTGAGTGTATCAAAACATGAACACTTGCAAACGGATATCTCCATATAAATTACAAAAGTGCCTTTTAAACCAAAATTCTAAAATGTTTAGTAAGATATCGACATTTGAACAGCTCAAAAATTAATTATGCATTCCTTCTTTGTTCGGCAAGTAAAAGCCTTCCCAAAATCTAGAATTGTACAGCTAGTTATAATAGTATAATTTCCGTTGAAGGAAAATTGCATGTCAAGGAAGTGCCTTAAATGGATGTTGGAAACACGGAGGGAGAGTGTCAAACTGTTAACTACAGCCTCTGTGTGTGGTTGTAGTCCACCAGCAGGAGGCACTGTGCCCTGGAAATGGAGTGGATGGCAGAGGTCAGAAAAACAGTGGCAGCTTGGGGACAGTGGTTTAGAAAGGCATGCTGCTGCGAAGTGACTCGAGCTGCTCTTCACCGATGCGAATCTTTTCCTCCAGGTCTTTCTGCTCTATTAATAGCGAGGCTTTCACTTTGACAAAGTGCTTGTAGTCCTGGAGCTGCTCCTGGGTCAGGTTCCTGGAGAGGATGTCTGACACCAAGCGCTCCCTGCGGTCCAGGTTGTCCTTGAGATCTTTGGCGTCATCCCTCTGCTTGCACAGTAGGCGGTGTCGCTCATCCAGCGATTGCTACGGGACAGAAAGTGTTGCAAAGAACATGAATACTTGACATCAAATAGTAAAGGTCGTTTGGTGCTTTCGTCTCTGGTTCACCTATAGCACAAACCCGAAGAAACATCCTAATGCTGCAGAAGGTACAAAATTGATTAATCAAATTATACAGCCAAATCATAATGTATTGGGCAGCATTCATTTTCTATATACCTCCATATTGGGAGGTAATTGGTTTAACATTAAATCTCCACAAAGTGAAAGAAAACAAAGGGGTATGTTTTAAGAAGTGATACAGCGACCCTACAGGAAGAATTATAGGCGTTGTTTCCCAATAGCAATACATGATTAGTGTGAATTGGTGAATGATAACTGCACCTTGACCATCCCTTGCACCTATGCGAACTCTCTGCTGAGAGAATCTGAGGTCTCAGTGCAGAGTTATTGAATTATTTTATTTATTTCTGAAACAGAGCTTTAAATGACAAAATCGCAAAACATTTATCAACGTTCCATAAGTTGATTAGGCATTCCGTAAAGAATATATGCTAGTGGTAGATATGCAAGCTTCACAATTATCCCCATTAGCCGGGATATTTTTTTTTCTGAAGTGATTGACTTTGTATGTGCCTCATTAAGGTCTGACTACAGAAAAGCTCCTGTATTAGTTAATTGTATCTAAGTCATATCATTATTTTGAATACCCAAAGGCTAATATAACGTGAGCATTTTTCTAAATGTTGCAAAACACCACTTTAGTTTGGATTATTAACAAATACGTACTCCTGAATAAAAAAATATTTTTTAAACTACTACATTTTAAAAACTACATCAAGCAGCCATATCACTCTGCAACTCACAATTGGCTAAAGCTAAAGCAGGTGTGAGCCTGGTCAGTACCTGGATGGGAGACCTCCTGGGAAAAACTAAGGTTGCTGCTGGAAGAGGTGTTAGTGGGGCCAGCACGGGGCACTCACCCTGCGGTCTATGTGGGTCCTAATGCCCCAGTATAGTGACGGGGACACTATACTGTAAACAGGCGCTGTCCTTCGGATGAGACATTAAATTACAAAACCGAGGTCCTGACTCTCTGTAGTCATTAAAAATCCAAGGGCGTTTCTCAAAAAGAGTAGGGGTGTAACCCCAGCATCCTGGCCCTTACCAGTTATGGCCTTTTAATAATCCCCCTCTATGAATTGGCTTCATTACTCTGCTCTCCTCCTCACTGATAGCTGATGTGTGGTGAGCATTCTGGTGCACTATGGCTGCCATCACATCATCCAGGTGGGGCTGCACATTGTTGGTGGTGGAGGGGAGTCCCCATTACCTGTAAAGCGCTTTGAGTGTAGTGTCCAGAAAAGCACTATATAAGTGTAAGTAATTATTATTAATTACTATTGATGTTTCCACAAATCCATATCTCTAGTGTACCGTCCTGTTTAACCAGAAGGTGGCACTCTCGTAATACAGCCTTCAGATTGAAACAGGTTTCGATGAGTCACTTCAGAAACACAGAAATGTTAACCAAAGTATCAGGTAGGCCAGTTCTTCCTTCAAGTAAAAAGTAATGGTTTATTCCATGCTGAAAAGACAGGAAAGGTTTCCGTTCTTTTCTTTTCAGCATGGAATAAACCTTTATTTGTTCCTTGTCAGCCTACGCATGCTGACGCAGATACATACTGTACTTGAACCTGTTCTTCCTCCTACAGCTTTCTAGGGTAATTCCCTTACATTTTACTCATTAACATTACAAAGACAAAGTAGAATTTCTTTTCTAACTTAGAATCATCATATATACTGTATGTCCATTCTAGCAGCACCCAGCAGTCCATTCCAGCAGCAGAACTGCCAATTAAGTGTCCACATGGGGGAGAATGAAGACATTCAGGCTCCTCTGACCTGCCAACTCACTGAATCAGTGTTTTTGTAACACTGCGGTACTGTGCCACAGTTTCTGTGCTAATTGTAGGAGCAGCACATCCCTCATTGACAACTGTATGGATGGAAAATTGTTTCAATTGAATTGATCCTAATACAAATTAAAGTAATAAAAATATGTGCACAACTTTTTAAGCCTTCAATGCCTTCTGTGTTTATTTCAGGGACAGCAAGAAAGGCGTTTTCTTGTAAAAAGCATTTGTAGAGATGAAAGTCCCCCCCTGATGTTTCTCAGATGAAACTAGCCCACCTTCTCCTCGGCATCGGTGAACTGGTCGACGGCGCTCAGGGCATTCTGCACCCGGGCAAGGCGGGCAGACAGACAGAGCAGTAGGCTGACCACTTTCTCTAAGTCGCCAATGAAGAGTGTGTAACGCTCGTATTCACTGGGCTGGCAGCTGTCCCTGACCAGGGCCTCCACAGCACTGCCCAGCTCGCCGTTCGCTCGCAGCTCTTCCCTCAGCGCTGACCGCTGCTTCTCCAGCCCCTGCAGCTGGTGCTGGATGCACAGGATCAGCTCCTTCTGGAGAGACCAGGGCAAGAGGGCCTTTTAGAACAGTTACAGTCACCCCTCATTTCAAAGCCTGCTTTTATTTCCCAAATCAAAAAAGCTGAAAATACTATCCTATATGCAAAGTGTCACAAAAGCTCTCAAGATGAGCGAATTACCTGAATGCATGACTATGTTTAGTATCCTTAGCTTCTTTGAGAATTTGAGTATGCTGTGGTTTAGTTCTTAGTATTTACTTGTAAAAGACCTGGCCTTTCATAGTACAGTATGATGTAGCAGGGATGGATGTACTACAGATTTACTTCTGTTCACTGAAAATGTCCTGGTTTTAATATCTAAGAAAAAGCTTATCTGGAAGTTAATCACCTTCTTCTCAGTGATGTCATTCAGCTCACTGTCCTGTGAAAGAACAGTCTCCTGTGTGGAACTATTCCCACTATGAACCTCAGAATTCCAGTTATCAGGGTTTGGGGGAGTTTCCAAAATCCTGGATCCAGCATTTCCTTCGACATTGGAGCTAAAAAATGATAAAGTAAACTTAAATTTGAGCATTATTTTGTCATGGAACCAAAAATAAAATCACTGTCGCCTGTATTTTTGTAACAAACATGCCAAATGAAATGTACTAACTGTTCATCACACTGGTTTGACAGGTGTTTCTACTTTAACGTGCAAAGGAAACTAAACAAAAAAAACATCATGTCCAACCGCCTGTACTTCATAGCTTAACTACTGTGAAGTAATGGTCCTGTTTGAGAAGATTTTCCACTTTTCAGTTACTGAATCAATCACTGTTCAAAAGACAAAAACATTAAATAATAATTACTTCTCCCCATTGTGTGATCTGCAGGCTCTCTTCCTCCTGTAATGTTCCTCCATGAGCAACGTGTCTTCGGACAGCAGCTGCTCCATCAGAGTCACGGTTGTCCTGCGACTGGATTTGGGAGCCAGAACACTAGCTAACGACTGATCCTTGGTGACAATCACTTCCACTAGCTCCTCCCACTGCCCGGGTTTTGGCAGATGGGGTTTTGCGCTGGTGGAGGGACTGGGCCGCTCTTCTGAATGACCCCCCTTGTCATTTTTTGCCTGTTCTTTCTCTGAATTCTGGACCTGTTTCTCTGCTGGATCTGTAGAGGTGGTGGCTAGCTGTTGCCCAGTGGACTGAAGTGAAGGCAATGGCGAGCCGAGTTCATCTGCATCACTTGCTTCTCCCTCTTGAAAATCTTCAACTGGTGCCCTCCCCAGTTCCTCTGCTGTGGGCCAGGCACTCGGATCTGTTGTTACTCCTCTACCGAGAGAGACTTCTGGACTTCCAGATTCCTGCTGGTCAACCATAACATTTTCTAATGGCAGAGTCTGAAGTGTAGGAGTAGTCTTCATTCTGTCAGAAAAACATGCAAAAACAGAAAGCACAATTTACACAAAGAAAGCAGAAACCAGTGAACATCAATCACTAAAGTATGTGTTGCTTAGGCATTGAATTAATCTAGAATCAAATCTGTTTAATATCATGAATTTATTGCTGCTAGGTCAAGCAAACATCTGTCATTATATGAAATATTTAATCACATGCGATGTACAGGACAGGAAACATTAAGATTGTTATTTTGAATAGAAAATGCTTATTTAAATATACTGTATGTGAATATATTTACAAAAAAATGCTTACAATCTCACATAGTTTATATTGTATGTCCATCCATTTTCTAATCACTTTATTTTGTACAGGGCCATGGAGAGCTGGAGCCTAACCCAGCAGGCAACAGGCACAAGCCAGGATACACTCTGAATGGGGCACTAGGGCAGATAGACACACACTCACACCAAGGCCAATTTTCCCGGAAGGCAATTTACTTTCCAGTATGACTTTGGGCTGTGGGAGGAAACCATAGGACCCAGCGTAAACCCATACAAACAGGGGGAGAACACACAAACGCTACTTAGATTATGCCCCAGAACTGCAAGGGTGCAATGTTAACCTCTTCACCACCCTATGTTGTTTGGAAGAGTTGCAATTCTAATACTGTAATACACAAATGATAAGAAATGAAAGACAACCTGGTGCAGGACGTGCTCTCCTCAGGTCCGTTCTCAAACTGAATGTGCAGGTGTGTGCTTGTCGAGGCTACAGACTCCCTTTCCGGCGTGCTTCTGCAGTAGAAGGACTGTCCTGAGGGACTATCAGTGTAAAACACACTGCTCTCCACAGAGTCACAGAAAAGGGCGCTCATGTTGGGTGACTCAATGGGAGTGGAGGAAGTCCTGCACTCTGGAGAGGAGGCCAGGTTTGGAGGCTCCATGTCAAAGTTAAGGGGTTCCAATGACTGGGAATGTCTGCCATTGGGTGTGGCCCCCAACAAATCGTCACTGCTCCTCGAGTGCTGGCTTGTCCCTGTCTTCAAAAGGTGCCGTTCTGAACTGTGGCCGGTTCCTGTGGATTCTTTGCTTTCTCCAGCCTTGCCTTGGATTTTCAGTTCGGCTTCCCAGGAAAAGGCTGCGTTTCCCTGCATGTGCTCCGATGCCACGTGCCTGCTGTGGATCTGGTCTAGCTGCTCCGAGCTCTTGCTGAGAACGGGAGTCGCAGGGACACGGAAGGTGCCAAGCTCCTCCATGGATTTGCCTCTCTGTGTCACGGTGCGGCCTGGTCTGCCCTCAGCTGCAGGGGCTCTGGTGCCACTTGACGCCAACTGACCTTCAGCTTTCTTTAGGGAGCTAACAGGGAAGGAGAACACAAGCTCACCAGCTGTAGCAGCAAACCTCGTGCAAGGGGTGCAAATGCGTTGTGATTTGTTCTTTAATTAGGAAGACAGTGACTGTATCTGCTCACCATCACATTTCACGGATTGTACTTTTTTCCCCCTTGTTGGGCCATCAGAAATCCTCAAAATCTAGCTGTGTTAAGGGGGCAAACAAATTAACAACTGGTTCAAATTACAAAAGTCTGTCACTTTTATAATAAAACTGATAATTGAATAAAAGTGAATTCCCAGAAATAAAATACACAACTGGAAACTCTGGGATGTTTGAAAGAAAATAGTTTATAGGTTTCATGTAGTTTAGAACACTATGGACACCGATGTATTCTGTTCCTCTAATTTCATGTAATGTTTTATTTAATTGAAGAACATGCATCTGAGTAATTTATCAGATAAGAAAATCACAATAGAGCTTATCTTCATAAATCTCAAATATTTTAACAGTAAAAAAAAAAATCAACATTTGTCTATATACAGTGCCCTCCATACGTACTTGGACAGTGAAGTAAAAATGGCTATTTCTTCTGTATACGTAAGCTTATGTGGATTTGAGACGAAGAGCAAAATTACAGAATGTCACCTTTTACTTCTGCATATTTATGTACTGTTTTAGAATAATAGCACTTCTTGAGTTCCACACTTATATGCACCTGAAATGGAAGGATCGGATAATTTGCTACCAGATGTTTCTTATTTGTCAGGTGTTTCCTGATGCACTGATTGTGCACATATAAGAGCCGTGAATGTGCAGGATTTGGCCTTAGCTCTTCACTGTGCTCTTTAGAGTCAGTGGGCCGAAACCAGCATGAACACTAGGGAACTGTCTGTGAAGGAAAAGTAAGCAATTTCAATGCGGAAAAAAAAGAATTCAATCAGAACCACAGCACAGAAACTGGGCGTTATAACAGAAGTATAAAGGCTACACTGCAAGAGACAATCCTTCCATCAGCATCAATAAAAGAAGGGCAGATTACAATTTGGTCAAAAGTACAGAGATGAGCCAGTATATTTCTGATACAAGGTGTTATGAACACGTAAGACAAAGATAGAAACCACTTCATCTGTGAAACATGGTGGAGGTAGTGTCGTGGCTTGGCCACTTCTGGAACTGAATTACTCACCTTTATTGATGTTATAACTAATGATTATAGCAGCAGAATGCCTTCAGAAATGTACAGAAACGTCTGCTTATGTACAAGAAAATTCCAAACTCATTGTCTAGTGTTAAAGGTTCAATCATCCCTAAAACAAACACATCCAAGACTGACTCCAAAAATAGAAAAACCTACAGGTGCAACTGAGGAACGATATTAAAATTGTTGTGACAGAGACAGTAGAGATAGTACACGACAGCAGACGCTGAAAATAAAGCAAACGTTTTTTCATTACTATAACAGTGCTATATACTGTAGCTATAACTTTTACTAAAACAGTAAAAGAGCTGTAAAAGATGAAAGAAAGGGTTGGTGAGATAACATGGGATTAAAGCAAAAGATATTACTGCTAAATCCATCTAAAATATATTTCAATCTGAACTAGAAGAATGCCTCCTGTATGTATCTAAAATGGCATTTTAAGACACAATGTTGTTTTACTAGAATTCTTTGAACAGACAACAAAGTCAGTTGATAATTCTTATGCACATAATATGATTAGAGGTCCTGAAAACAATAAGAAGCCCTCATAAAAGATTAATGCTCAAAATAAAATCTGTAGGAATCCAAAGCAACTGATGCACATTGATTTAGAAATAGTCAATGAATAGAACATGGACCAGTTTAAGGGCATAACCTCGTTAATAGGGCAGATGTAAGCAGTGGTGTTCTGCAGGGATCCACTTTAGGCCATTTTCCTCTCCTGAACTTTATCAGTGATTTAGATTGTGGTATAACTAGTGGATTAAATGTTCAGTTTGAAATGATGATTTGGGCAGCCACTTGGCAAATGAAATTGAACATTGAGAAGTGCGATGTGCTCCACGCAGGAAATGGAAGCAAACACAATCCCTATTACATGAGTGATTGAGAGTTACAGGAAGCTACATGTGAAAGGGATTTGTGTGTTTATGTAGGGTCTTCAATGTCTTCATCAAGACAATTGAAGGAAGCGATAAAAGAGCAAACAGAAGGTTTGGGTGTATGTGGCAAAAAAATGGGTAATTTAAATCAAAGGAAGTTATGCTCAACCTTTACAATGTACAGAGCCCTCATTGAAAAATCTGTGTTCAGTTGTGGCCACCATATCACACAAATAAGGATCTTTTAACCACTGTTTTATGGAGAAGTAAATTTGGGTTTGAATGGGTCAGTAACCCTCCCATGTCTCCTTCCACCTCTTGTTAAATGCTGTACAGAGATTGGGGTGGATTTACCACGACAAAGCACTGAGTCTAAATAAGAAGAAAGGGAGCCTTTAAAAAATGGAATTCTTAAAATATGTACATTTCATGCAGGGCATGATAGATTCCAAAACTTCCAGTAAAACTCTGCTGAGCTGCATATTTCCTTTGGCCCTATGGATAAATTGTGCTTTGTTTTTTTCCTGTTATTTTGTGATCCAAAGCTCTGTCAGGATTTGATCACAGCAGCTCATGGGAACTAACTTCAAAGCCACACATCACCTCTCCTCCAACAGCGGAGAATTCAGGAGATGGCAGGAGAATTCAGCACTATCCAGGTCCTAAGAGAGGTGACATCGCCTTCTGTCCCCATGCCAGGTGAACCCTATTACATCTGTACTTGCTGGCCTGTAACATGGTGAAAATATACATATACAAATGTGTATGTAAATAAAAGGCAAAAGTCACACACTGTGATACTGCCTTTTATGCACCAGCTGAGGACATCAGGTTGCAGGTTTTGGAAAGTACAATGTATGTGTTTCTGCCTTGGAAACAACAACAAAGGATGTTGCTTGTGTACAGTACATCTTACAGAAAATAAGAGTTACTCAGATCCCAGGAAGTCATTTTTCAATCTCTGTACGAATGTGTGAGAAAGGTTACAAATGAGAGGTTATGCGGTCCATGCATGTTTTAATTTAGAACAACCCGTACTGACACATGCGAGGTTCAACAAGGGTAACTCATGTTTATGTGACAGATAAGGATGTAAGGTAACCAGCTAAGGCTCTGGAGTAAATAACACGCAACCTGATTATGACTTCTGTTTAATATTCCACAGCTTCACTCACCTGGAGTTCCTGGAGTGACTGACTGGAGATGCTTTATGTGTGAGGCTCCCAGGCTGGAACCAGATTAAAAGAAATTACATTAAAAAAAATACCCAATGCATTAATTAATGAGAGCAGAAAGTAGGTAATTGTTTTTTAGATACTTGGAAGAAACATACAACCAAACATACAAATTGTTAACTTCAAAGCTAGGAAGAAACATACAACCAAACATACAAATTGTTAACTTCAAAGCTAGTAAAACTATTTTGGCAGAGACAGCTAGATTGAAAATGCTGATGTTTTAGGCCCTGTTCCTAGTGACCCCTCACAAAAACTGATTAATGTTCTGCTCAGTAGATCTTCTGTTCTGTTGTTATTATTTATTATGTTTGCAATGTAACACTAGATTGTTTGGTGTTATATGTCATAATATGTCGTCTGCTGTACTGTGATTGACTTGAGAGAGAATTCCAAAGCACATGTACATATGGCAATAAATTCCTCTACAACTCTACTTCCATGGATAGAGAAGGAAGTGAAAGAGTCATCAGTGCACCTGTAAATTGGTAGGCGATGGTGTTGTCCGAGATTGATGGAAGCCTTTTTGCTCTGACTGCTCAAGGAGACTTTCCACAGATATAGACAGAGCGTGTCCTGTTGTTTCAAACATCTTCCTGGGACTTGCACTAGTCATCTTCTTCCAGATGGGCTGGCAGCGGGGTTCGACAGGATGCATGGTGTCCGACTGGGCATATCTGATGGAACTTGAGGACGAATCCAAGACACGCCCAGCTGACAGTGGTCGGGTGAGCTTCTTCCTGGGGACAGCATTCTCACAGGTGGGCCTGGGCCCAAATTCCAAAGGTTTCCCAGCAGTAGAATGCCTCATGGCAGGATTCTGTGAAGGAGGTTGTTGGGGTTCTGCTTTTTTCTGTCCAGTCTTCCGCTCCACGTACGCGACCAGGGCCTTGTGCTGGATCTGTTTCAACGTGGACTTTGAGATGCTTGAGGCCGACATAGTTCGGCCTCTCATTTCAAACATCTTTCTCCTGGCAGCAACCAGACCATACTCACCGAGGTCGTCTTTGGACAGTAAGCCCTCCCCCTCATTCCCCAGGGACTGCTGCTCAGAGTGATGGGCGGAACCCCCCAGCTGGTTCAATTTCTCTGGCTCGGAGTAACACAGCTTCTTTTGCTCAGGTGTGAGCCTCTTTCTTCCACCGATCCGTACTGCCTGAGGCTGAAGAGGATTTGAAGGCTTCTCAGTTTCCCTCTTGGCCGGAGGTTCTGGTTCCAAAAGCACTGGGTTGTCTGATATCATTTGAGAAGTATGCGAGAGCGAGCCTAATCTTGAGTGCATCACTGAAGGCCGCTCCTCAGCCCTCTGTTTGATCCTGTGAGGCCAGCTGAGCTGGAGGTCCTTCCTCTTGAAAGAGGTTTCCCTTAGGACCTTGGTCTGGGCATCTTTTAATCTATCCTTGTAGTATTTCTTGTAGAATTCATCCGTGGAGGACCCTGAGCTGCTAAAATCTTCACTCTGGGACTGCTGTAGATCTTCAGCCACTTCTTCCAGGTTGTGGTTTCTGGTCCCAAAGTGGCACTCATCCCTGGAGGTGGCTTCTGTGTGCTGCAGTTTCAAAAAGGGAGCACTGTTGCATCTGATCTCTTTCCACTTCATCTTGGCCCAATTTTCTTTTGAGGTTTTGAATGCAAGAGCACCTCTGCTCTCACCTGCAAGACGGTACAGCATAGGGGTTGTTTCTTTGTTGATTTTGTCATTGGCTACTTCGCCCAAAGGCCGCCTTGTCATTCTTTCTACATAGTCTCCTCTTTCAGTCTTCACTTGGCCTGTGCACTGAGTGGGAGGAACTGAGTCCTCGTCGTTTGGATCCGGCAGTGGGACACTGTCCTCAGGGCCACAGTAGAAGATGTGATGGTTGCTACTGTGGTGCCAGCGCGATCCAGATCCTATCTCCCGGCCCTGCGGTTTCTGGCTTTGATCCAGGATATCAGTGGTATTAGAGATAGGCGATGCACTATGCATGTTTTTATTATGATAAACACCCTCTCTGTTTTGTGCTTGTAAACCTGGGCTCGTCAAGCCACTTTTATTATGAATTTCATAACTCCGCTGTTGTCTGTGCTTCGCATTGTTGAGGAGTTCATCAATGGTGCTAGGTGCTTTTTCCTCAATTTCCTTATGTGCAAGAAGGTCTTCTGGAGAATGCCCCATGCAATCTCCTTGTCTGTTACCTGAAAGGTTGTCTTTCACCCTGGGCACAGTGGGTTTACACACACCAGTGACAAAATAATATTGCCCCTTGTGTTGGATGTTGCCATTGATGGTGTTCTGCTGCAAATCCCTCAATTGTGCCTGTTCAGTAACGTTGCTACCATACGCAGAGTGGCATTTATTGCTTTGATCCTCCGAGTGGCTGCCTGTTCCACCAGCATGCCATTTAAAGGATTCCTGAAGTATAAAGGATGGATTGCTTAAAATATGAGCCAACTTTGCCTGCTCCAAAGTCTGATCCGCACCATCTCGGTACACTGGGTCCTTCAGATTAGACTCCGAAACCCTGCGGCGGTAGACTGGGTCAGTTCTGGGACAGGCAAGTGCAGGATTAGCTGTCTGAGTCCTCTGAAGAAACGTCTCTGCCAGCTGGCCGCCAGGGCTCTGATACGCGCTGCTGTTCTCTAAGTTTCTGATGGTTATGAAACTGTCCAGGCGGGATGGTGGCTGTGGAGGAATTTCCCTGTTGCCCTGACCTGAGCTATACTGGCTGCTGAGGCAGGAATCCTCGTGACACTGATGACCGAGGACCTCTGCCGACCTGTACAGGTGATCCGCATTTCTGGAACTGGAATTGAGGACATTTGGATTGTAGACAGCCCTCACGTACTTCAGGTCCGTGTAATGTAAGCTGTGAGGCTGCATTTCATCTGGTAGAGAGGGGGAGGAGTGATCTGGAGCATTGGAACCTCCTGAAAAGGAGCTGTAAGCCGAGTCCCCTTTACCATGGTGATGGGTAAACTGGTCTATACTGCTTGTGGCAGGAGAGAGTCTACAGTCACTAGAAAGGAGGCCCAGTGGGTTCAGGTTCAGACTGTTCATGTTTTCAAACTGGACGTCATGGCCAAAGGAATGCATTGGGACTCAGGACAAGAAAAGGGCCAAATCTTGGCAAGGCAAACAATCCTCCAATTTAGTCTTCCAGGAATGTCATTCTGTCACTCTTTTCAAAGACATCATGTCCTGTTCAAGATATGTCTGAACACATCATTCTGACTTTTCCCCTGTCAAGAAAAAATAAATATTTGACATTTATTTTTGTGATCATTTACTTTTAATGACTGTAAGATCGGTGTACCCATCTGTTGATGTCTCTGTACCCTTACTGACTTATAAAACAGTGTCTGGATTCAATTCCAAGCATGACATATCTACGAAAAAGACTGCACAAAAAATATAACGGTACTGTTTCTGGATTCTTGTATCTTGTGGTAGATCGGTACAACCAGAAATGTTTTTTAAGCTCACTTACAGAGATTTTTGAGCATTTTTACCAGATCATAGGACAAACTATTTATATTCAGCTCCTGGGGCATGTGACAATTTCCTAACATCCAAGGAGCAATGCAGCTGATAGAAAGTGCCTGCTGGGTTCTAACACTGCACGCTGAGTGCTCCCAGAGAATGAAATGAATACGGCCCAATCTCATTTCATCTCGCAATTGCACTCAATTCAACCTTTTAGAGGTCCTTTTCAATCCGCCCCTTTGTTCAGAGGAAGACCTTGTTTATTTAATTGTGTCCACTGGTTCCGTGTCAAACTTAATCACAACAATTAAGATCATCGCTGAAACAAAAGGTTAAGATAGAAAGGAACCTTCCCCAGTTTTCCCCACTATTTTCCCATTGTTAAAAGCCTTTTCTTAGGTCAGTTAACTAAAAGGCGAAAACCCATGCCAAAATTGTCAATTGCTGTTTATAATTATGCTTCGGGAATCTTTACTATTTTTTTTCTCTACAAAATACTTTGTCAGCAGAGGAGAAAGGCTTGTGGATTGGCTTACTGTACATAGTAACAGATGAGCAGATCACAGGGCCTTAGGAGAAGGATTAATGGGGTCAATCAATTGAGTGACTGATACAGGTTGAAAAGAAGACAGGTTTCGTAATCTTGCTTTTTTCATTATGCTTTCATCTTGGTTTATTAGAAAATGTCAACATATAACAAATGCTCACAAGTGGAGAAAACAAAACAGGTCTGCAAAGGCCAGGCTTAAAATTTGTATTACTGCTAGTATAACTAACCGATACGTTTACTAAATAATTACTAGTTTATTATTAACATAAAATGCAAATCAATAACATGTACATAAGAATAATTACAAACAAGAGGAGGCCATTCAGCCCATTTGGTAATTATTAGCTACTTTATCCAAGACATTTCTTGAAAGAAGCCAGGATATAACTTTAACAACATGCCCGGGTAACTTGTTCCACACTCCCACAACCCTTTGGATAAAGAAGTTCCACCTGTTCTTGGTTTTAATCTCCACTTGTGCCCTCACACATTTCACTGTTCATTCTGAAGAAGTCAGCTGGGTTGACTTTGTCAGAGTCTTTGAGGAATCTGAATACTTGTATCAGGTCACCTCGTACTCTTTAGTGATTAAAAAGGTTCACTTCCTTCAGCTTGTCAGCATTAGGCATTCCTTTAAGTGCCAGAATGTGTCTGGTCTCTCTTTTCTGGGCTGATTCCAGAGAAAGAATAATTTACTTTAGAACATGGTGACCAATTTTATGAAATATGAATATAAACTCTACTCAGGTTCTTTATGTATTCTTCAGAAGAAACATACTTGCATATAATATGACACTTGTATGGTGATAAGATTTATTCTCACTATAGGAATAGTAAGTACCAGTAAAAAAGAAATTCCTGAATCAAAATTGTAATTTTAGAAACAGCCTAAAATGTAAAAGAGGAAATTTGTAGTATTTAGGCCCTTCACACTTTATTACTCAAAAACACAGGATGATGCAGGCTGCAGGTTGTTTATTGTCAACATGTAGGTCCTTTATTTGTGAGGTAATACCTTTGCACTGACATAGATCATTGTAGAAAGTAGAAAGTTAACTTAAATTAAAGGTAGAGTAGAATGCTTTAATGAAAAGCCTAAATTGTAAACTGTTTCCCTACATTAATAACAATAAAAAAGTTAATCATTTTTGGAATAGAATTACAGGGAAATTAAGAGGGGATCTATGAGCAGGAAGCATTTACTGAGTACAAATATAGTATAAATGGATCTTGAATTTATGACAGCATGTAAATACTGTACCCAGTTATGAAATGTTTCCTCTGGAACTAAACCAACTTTTGAATATTAAGCATATCTCCCCCTTCATTTCAGGTTCTAAGTGCTTTACCTTCGTACACTGGTCTACAAGAAATATTTGAAGGGGAAATGCAGTCCCAATTTCTCAGACTGGTTAAATCTCAGTTACAAAATAAATTCATTGATGGTATAGAAAAATTTAATAAATTACAAAAAATACAAAATCGTGAAGTTTGTGAAAGGACTGTAAGTCTCCATGTTGTCACAAACCCCTGGTCTCGCTACGGGTGAGAGTTCCCACAAATTGCGACATGAAACAGCCCTTCCTGCTCACTAGTTACTGCAATGACTAATGTATTGCAATGTACAAGCAAATAAGAACAGGTTGTGCAGCAGACATTTCACCTTAGAAATGTTACAACATGATCTGCATTCGAATAAGTAGTATTTGTTGGCAAAAGCATCTCGAAATCGAGAGCAATATTTCTGTTGGATTCAAAGAGATGTATTCACAAGCCTGCTTGTTAATAATGTAATGGGGCCTTTTCGCAAAGGAGCTTTTGTTGCCTTGTTCTGAATGTCAGAATATGGAGCCGTGCATACCTGGAAACTTTCTCTATTTTGGGATGTAAATTCAGGTTTTACAAGTTATTGTGTACATTTTACTTTTATGGGGGTTTGAAATGCCAATTCTTTCTAATATTCTTTATAAAATATAAATATAAATATAAATATTGCAGTTCCCCTTTAAACTTATGGTGAAATCTTTGATGTCGGCATCAAGCATATGGCTCATGATATCAGATAAGTTTTCCTATTTTATCTCAGAATCCACTCAGTGCCATTCGAGTGGTTTCCAGGGAACAATGCTTTATCCTCTCATCCAGTGGCTGATCTAATAGTTTTATCACTACTAAGGGTCTAGTTTCTTCTCCATATAATTTCCTTATGTTTAAAATCAGTCCTCTCTCAGCCACCTTCATTTAGGATAGAAAACCACCCAAAATGGTAGCCCTATTTAAGACCAGTATGGTGCAATACTTTCTCTTCGTCTACAAACACAGCCCACCAGCTAATCCCTTTTAACCCTGTGAGTGTAAATCATTTATTTTATTTTTCAGATGGATTAAACACACTTTGAATGCCCTGATACTATTGCATACTGTATGTGCACTGCAGGGGCTACCGGCGTTACATTTGACCACATATTGAATGGAACACCACTTTGGCAGTTCCTATTCCTGACCCTTGCTGTCACAAACATTTAGGGTGTACCCAGTACTTAATATGGGAGTGTCCTGTTACAGAGAGCTTTTGGGTGTATGTACCTACTGTGTTTTTTATAGGCGTGACTATCCTGCTGAGCCCCACTCAGAAGCACTACTTCTTGTTGACAATTCCCAAGTAACTATCAATTTTTAGGCACAATGTAATTTGTTCACAGATCTAACTTCAGTCCAAAACAATTTTACATGATTGGATACAGACAGACTCTCTTGAATCACACTTGGGGGGGCCTTAATTTCCAGAAGTACAAGATGAAAGATGTATATCTAGATCATATTTTGCTAGTGCGAGATGACCATGAAACTCTGAAATACTTTGAGATGTCTATTTCTCATCCTCCACTTGGGGTAGATTTACCCCCATCCTCTTTTCTTTCTTTCTTCCTCTCTCTTTTTTTGGTCCGTGTCATATTTAGTTTTTAGTGTTTAGTTTTTTTCAGAATTCCACAAAAAATATTTAAAAAAACAGATCAGAAATATTTTACCCACATTTTAATGTATGTTCCCTGCTGCGGCTACAAAGTTTAAAATACAGACAAAGGACTACAGACAGGATTTCTAGCATACCTACCATGATACCGGCGGTACTAAGATACCACAGTTGAAATACCTATCATTTACAGGTGGATAATACACGAAAAATGTCCATGTACAAAATCCTCTTAATTTTGGATGTTGAACTTTTAGTTCTAGCATCGTAATGGAGTGAATTGTGTAGGCAGTAATTAACTGAATAATGAATTGATTTGCAAATGGTCTTTTTCAGAGCTTTGCGTGTCTCTCTGGAGCACATTGCAGTACATGTGCAGACAGCCAGGGCTCATCTCCTCACATTAGCGCACAGAAGCCAGTAAACTGGAAATGACAGAGTCAAACGTGATGGCAGAATGGGCAGAGGGAGAGAGCTGTGACAGCAGAGGACATGCAGAGGACTTGAGGCTTTCACCCTGTTTCTGTTTTCCACAAATAATTCAGTCCTGCTCTCGACATTGGCCTCAAGTAACATTATTATTATTCTGACTTATATTACTGTAAAGTACTAAGTAAGGCTTAATGATCCACTTCAAATGTGTTGCATCCCACACATGTTTTGTAAGAAAATATTTTAAGTAAGTATTTTCTTTCTGCTCAAAGGCTTTTTAGATGAAACTTACAAAATAATGCTATCTAGGGAGAACACAAGCTGGAATGATATGAGACAGATAGCCTTATCTCTTTAAACATCTCAATCTAGCAAAATGCAGTATTTCTCACCAATATTTAAGTTAATATAAACTCTCTAAAAGTCTTTTAGTTCCAAATTTAGTAGTCTTATACGAGAATGAAAAATGTTCTTGGCCACCCATGCTTCTTTTCAGAGATGTAAGGATATAAAGAAAATATGTTGACCACTTTTGCCTGATCTTCACTATCAACAGCTTCCCATGTTTTGCAGTTTAACACTTTAAGAAAACAACTAATGTAACTATCATGCTTTAACACAAATCCCCAGCATTTCACAAAGTTTAATTTCCAGTGTGAATTATTCCTATTTTATTTTCTAAAACTTGCATATACTCACAATTCAACTACAAACTTTAAATATAAAATATATGAACTTATTTTGTTGTCCTGTTTCCAATTTGAACGATATGTTTATCTCTTACCTTGCCCCAACAAGTC